CTAAGTAAACCTATTTTTAAGAGGATGAATAAACATAGGAGATTTATTCTAAGAAATTTACAACAGTAAATAAAGGAATTGTATTTTATCCATTCAGGGAATAAGCACTTTTGTTCTGTAAAAGTTATATTGTGTCTAGAGTGTAGGGAACACAATGATATAAGCCCACTAATTGCAATGACTATGGTAAGGAGAAAAATAATAAAACAAATTAAACCTGTGGTTATTTCAAACGTCAACTTCCAACATCTGTATTCATCTTTGCACACTAGGTATAATAATAAAAGATAAAAGAAGATAGAAAATTTTACTTAAAAGTGATTTGATTGAAAGACCTTGGAGACTATATGAAAATAAGTTTTTGAAAGGACATAATAACTAGTGAGAGCATATTGTAAGTGTATTTAACCTTAGACAGATTGATGAGAATACTGAAAAATGTCACTAGGCTAATGATGAAGACAAAAGATCACTGGTCTCCAGAACAACATGACAGGAGATGATAGTTTAACTGTGATTAAAAAAAACAAAAAACAAAAAAACAAAAAAAAAAAAAAAAAAAACACGTGATTTAAAACTCAGAGATATTTTCATGAATAAATATGGGTAATATGTGTAATCTGAACTTCAGAAAAATAACTTTAAAAAAAAATCAATGGGACAGAGAAAGTAGAAACGACTCTCTGGCCTATGATCATTACATGAAAAAACATCCTGAAAAAAATTGGTTATCTTGGACTTATATAATGTTTAATATTTGAAATGAAGAAAAGTAAGGGATGAAATTTATTTTCTGCAAAATGTTTTCCCTATCTATCCTGATTTTTATGCATTAAAGAAAAATGTAATTAAAATTTTCTATAGACATGTATATAAAATATTGATGAATTAATAAATTAATAATAAATAAACTAAATATATATATATAAAAAACAATAAACTCATATCCATTAAAATAATGGAACTAGAATGTAGGGTTAGAACTTAAATACCAGGAGACTAAATCAAATTATGAGGATACTAAAAATGGTCCCATGCAGTAACTTGGCTTAACAGTCTATCATTATAAGAATGATTTGAGTATATACTAAACGTCTAGAGAGATGTGATATTTGGAAAATGACCCTAGCAATATATAGATGTTTGAATGATGGGTTCTGCAGGTCCCCTTTCATTCAAAATGACTAAAATACTCAAACCTCTTTCCCTTAGGACTTCCTTTCAGCCAACGTTCATTCAACTAATCATATCACTCTTCAGGTACGTATTTGAATAGCCTACATTAGCTGTTTAACTTAATTATTTTCAACAGAGAGCATTGTTAGCTTCTCTGTTGTAGAATTCATGATTTTATGATTCCCTTTCACTTAGTACATGGCATTTGTATTCTCATTCTTTTAAAAATATTTATTTATTAATGATAATCTCTTGCATATATACAATATATTATAAACACATTCATCCCCCCATTTACCTTTCAAACTTTCCCCATACCCCATTACTCTACTTGACATATCCTATAAATTATATTGCATGAGATGTGAATCAGCAACTTTCTTTGTCATTATTATTACAATAAATACTTCATGGTTACATAAACTTCTGTTTTCAAATACAAAGTTGATTTACTTAGAATAGGATCTGAACCAAGAAGAGCATTGCCTCAGCTGAATGACTGTATGGATAGACTTATTAGGCTCCTTGATTCATATTGAACCAAAAGGTATACCAATTAACTGATTGACATCAACAAATCCTCGTACTTGGATTCCACTGATCATGGAAGAGTGAGCTTCAAATTCCCCACTTTGTCTCAGTCCTTTTATTATTAACTCTCATAGCCAGGAAATTATTATTTTTATCTCTCTTTTTCTTTTCACCTTGCAGTATTAACTCATTTCCTTTTTTCTTGGCTTTCTACTACTAGACATCTCAATAAGCAGAATGATTTTATTTGTCACAAAATGAGAATCAGGAGTTAATAAGGTCATATCAATCACATGAACCATGTGTAGTACTAGTCACAGTGATGTAATTTAAGCAATATCAGAAAACATGCTCTTAGATAGCCTTGTTGTGCTGAAAAAATAATATTTTGAAAACAATAACATGCCCACCTTGCTCAAATAAAGGATGTTAACAGCTGCATATCCCCATGTAATGGAAGGTAGCAGTTATAAAGAAAATGAAATACATTATGTATAGACCAATAAGACTCTCCAAATAATTTACACATTATTTTGTGTCCTTTGTCAAAGTATAACAACTATATCTGGTAGACACTGGGTAAAGAGATCCACACATGCTGTTGTAGCAAAACATAATATTCATTTATTACTGCTCTATGTAAGAGAAATGTAAATTAGTTGAGTGATCTCAACTGTATTTACCTTAATCTATTTAAGAATGCAACAATATTCAGTGACTTAAACTCTGAATATCTCTGAAGATTATGAATAAGTATATTAGAGTAGATTGGTAATTAGAAATATTATCATAACTTTGTTTGCATAAGACTATATCCAACTAGCTCAGTAGTTAACGAAAGGACAGTTTTCCATTTTAAAATAAGTAAAAATCAAGATTTAAAAAGAAGCTAAGGAAAATACAGCAAATGAAAATAAAACCATGTAGGGGAAAAAAAAGAACACAATCACTTTTCATTAACCCCAAGACTATGTTGCCATACACTGGCATTTAAATTTGGGCCAACTGGGGCTCAAATTATGTAGCTCTGTGGGTGACCGAAACCCCAAGGCTTATAAGAATATTGAAAACACAGGTGATGCTTACATTTACAACTCAGGAATGGCTTTGTAGGCCTCTGTGACAGCATGGGGCAATGTCCTAGGAGTGTGAGGCATGCAGCCATGTAATTATGTGGTTAGTATATTTTCTAATTAATTTAAATATGTTCTAGAAACTAACCTGGCTTGAAGCTAAACATTCCTGCATTGTGGACCCCTGCATGGAAGCAAGCGTTTCTAGCATGACAGAGCTGACCTGCTCATTCATAAACCTTGACAGATGGCTTTTGATAGAGGAAACCAAACTATTACATTTCAATAGTTAAAAATATTATTTATTCTTTCATTCAAAGATATTTAAGTTGTTATTTTTATTCCAATCTCACACTATATGGGGAAATACTTATACATACATACCAATTTTATTATAATTACATTTCATTTTCAAAATTTTATAATAAAAGAACACACCTTGATCAGGTCCCATAATTTGTAGATGCAATACACAATACTTTATATATATATATATATATATATATATATATATATATATATATATATGTATGTATATATGTGTGTATATATACACATATAAAATGTTTGGTTTTATTTGGCTTTAAATTGTTGTGAAAATTATGTTGGAAACAATACAGTGCCATTAGCATACACTAGTTTAGCTGGTATAGAATAGAAAGTAAGAGAATTTTTTTTTTGAGGTATGAGTGTGTCACTTACCATGCAATAAATCAATCAATAATGCAGATATCAGGGAAAGTACAAACAGAGTATAGGATACAAACTTCACCTAAATTTTCCCAAACAGCAGGAGAAACTGAGCCAGGCAATGGACAATGGTGTGCTTTGGATTCATTGCCAATGAATCTCAGAAGCAAACTTTATCTCTGCAGCTCACCTCTTACAGAATTCCTTGCCTTGATCCAAGACCATATATTTCAAATAATTTCTAATTACATTTCTTGTATACTTGTTTTTTTTAATTAAGAAAAGAATAAAAACACATCAGCTTCCTGCTTTCCCAGGTTTTCTCTTTATAATTTGTGTCTATTTTCAACACCTGCAATGTCTCAGAACAAATGGAATTATTCCTGACTTCACTTTTTTCTCCATGGCTATAGTTTCTTGGACTATGAATTGAAACTTTATTTCTCTTGGGTGGTGGGTTAGGCCACCTGCCCACCTAAGTTTCTTCTGCAAATGTGGGCAACACCCTACACTGTGACATGATGCTTAGCTCTATCCACTTTGAGATTCTCTTTTAGGGTAGAACACTGTGTTAACAAAGTCATAAAGGGATTTTCATTGTTGTTGATAAATCAGTATCTAGTAAAGTTTAAAAAATAATAAACAACCAGTCTGATACATGGAAATCAATGAGGTCACAGCAGCCAACTTTAGATTTACCCTTGAGAACACAGAAAATAAGAATAAGAATAGTGTGAGTAGCAAGATAAACCTACCTGACTATAAAGGTATCTGAACTGTGTGATAAAGACACAACAGAATGGCTTAAAAGGAAGCATGAAATGTTTAGGATTTCAGTCTGAAAATGTAAACTGACCTAAGCTTGACATTTCTAAGACAAGTTTTTCTTATTTAAGTCATATTCATAGATTTATTATACACATTCAGTAATGTGAAACCAAACTCATCAGTAAATTCCAGAATTGTTTTGCTATTAAGCTATTACTAATCATAAAATAATTTCATTTCTGGTCCATTTGTGTTTTATCTTCTATATTCCAAGCATAAGCTCAGAAAGAATGGTTGACCTTGGGAGGTCAGTTGTAATTCATGATCCTTTCATCACTGGAGAATGTCCAGGGCTTAGAAGTCAAATAAAGATAAACATGGACTCACAAACATATCAAGAATAATCCAAATAGTTATGTTTTAGAATATTAAAGTTTAAAAATGTCTTTTCTTTGTTGTTCAAGTGTAACAAGCATTGATTAATGTTTATTATATAAATACATAGGAAGTTGTTTATGAATCAAACTTCTCTTTTATTATTATAATCTAAATTTTCCAGCCTTAAAAAACAGGATGAATATCATATGCACATCAAATCTAAATATGATCAAAGTATTTCTAAAGTAACATGAGTGATCACTTTGGAAACTTAAAGGTATATACTTATAAAGATTAAATGAATCGTTTGCAATTGAAAATGACAATAAAGTTAGATCATCATTGATCCCAAAGCAATAGATGTAAAATCATGGTGGTACTTACCACGGTGAAATTCATAACCTTCAATATCCATATTGTCATGGCTAAGTTAACTATCATGGTAACCAACAGCAGAAGGACAAAGAAGTATAAGCACCTCTTTCGCCATCCATAAATCCCCACAGGGTAAAGTTGTGCATTTTCAGTTCTCGGCAGGCTGTTCGGTTGTGTTGCTAGTATATATTGTTCTCGTGTCATCTGGAGAGAAAGAGAGAAAGGAAGGAAGAGGACAGGGAGGTAGAAGAAAGAGCAGGAGAGAGGAGTAAAGAAGGAAGTGACGACGGCAGGGAGGAAGAAAAAGACAGCGAGAAGGAAAGCGTTTGAGGCGGGGTAAGTAGGAGGACATGTGAGCATGAAGAGAAAGTTAGGGGCGGGAGAAGGTGATGGAGCGGTGGTTCCAGCAAGGTAGCCATGAAGGAACAAAGGAAAGTTCAAATATTATAGAGGAGAAAATCAGGGGGAGAAAGAGTACACAGAGAGGGAGGGAGAGAATGAGGAAGAGCAAGAGGAGGGGAGAGAGAGAGAGAGAGAGAGAGAGAGAGAGAGAGAGAGAGAGAGATTAATAAAACTAATCTTTAGTTTTTATATTTAAATGGTATAAGGCACCTCAAAAAATGATCATAGAATATTCAAATAATTATTTCTGTGTCATTGAAGTGAAACAACTGCCCTCAAATTGTTGTCCTCAATGTTACCAGCACAACCTTTCAGTTAATTCTTCCATAAGACACATACTGTTTCCAGTAATACCTATTCCAACAAAGGGCATTTCTCTCTTGAGTCAATGGACACCCAGAAGTGAGTCCCACTGCCTAAGATTCAGCATTCCTAAGCACTCCCAAGATTCTATATCTTTCTCTGAAAAGACAGCACATAAACTGTTAAGTGTATATATTTACCAGAAAACATCAGTATATTTCCAAGAAACTATGGAAGGAAAACATAACTATATTCCTAAGTACACAGATACGGATTTAGAATTTTCTAAGTTTCATACCTTTAGGTGATGAATTTTGTTCTTATCACTCCCCCCATTCCCTCTGCCATGTCTCCCCTCCTGCTGACAACTATCTTCCAGCAAGTCCCTACCCTAAAGTTTTCTTTGTGTGCATGTGTGACCCATTGAGTTTAGATTTTTTTTTTTGCCTGAAGCATTGGTAGGATGTCATTTATTTGTCCAAGGGCAATTTATCAATGACTGCATCACTGAAGAAAAGGATACTTCCTCCCTTAATACCTACTAATTCCCAAAACTTTAATTCAGAACTTTGTTGGTTATTTACTTGAAGTGAGAAAATATGGATTCCTAAAAGAATACCAGGTACCACACTTTGATGTAATGATGTGAGAAACAGTCAGTTTTGGAGAAGGGAAGATGATATTTCTTGGTAATAAATAAATAAAAGGTGTAAAATTATTTTCAAAATAACTTGTTTATTGTCCTGCAACTTATAACCAAGGGTAAGGAGTCAAAGACTATTTTCTGAGATAACACTTTGAAAATCTATTCAGTATATTATAATAAATTTTCATCTATTTAAATTTTTTATATAGTATGGTTTTGCACCATAATCTCACATTCACAAAAATTATTATAATCCTTCAAAAGCTGAATCTTTCTTAGTTTCATAACCTAATGCATCCACCTTCTTCAATCAAGATACTGATATCTCTGAATAATGTAAAGGGATCTAAGTGCTTCTCCCAATAATTCAGATTTAAACTTTAAATGCGGATTTTGTACTTTCTCCACAAAAACAAAATCACCTTCAAAATTCTAATAATGCAATAAAATTTCCATGAAGACATTTAAATGTTAAATCCAAGAATATGGGCAAATCAAACTATATTTTGTGAGTTTTTAACTATTTCATCCAAAAGTGGGTGTAAAAAAAATACATTTTCAAATCTAATTACTCTGTTTGTCTGTTGTAGAGCATATCTTATGGAAAAACTGAAAAGAATGATTAATCAAGAGTGACTTAACATGACTCATGACTAATCATATAGCCCTGGGAAATTTCTGTGAAGTTTTTTAAGCTAAATGAGAAAGAAACTAGTTACAGCAACAATGTTTGCCTGTTACTTAGAGAGGTTGAGGACTCCAGCAGGGGGCAATCATCTAAAATAGTAAAACTCTGGGGATAAACTAATATTCAACCATGTAACATGGGTATTAAAGTATTTTGTATAGGTTTCCAGAATTGCGTACAAATGTAAAAGTGGCAAGGAGTTGGTATTAGTTTAGTCAAATGTTTATGAATTGATAAATACAGGCAATATTAATTCATGATTTAGACATTTAAGGTTTTAATATACTGTGAAAATTACAATAAGCACAAAAAGTAACCTGTCAAGAATAACATGATTAAAGGAAATAACTATAATAATGCAATGCAATTTGCAATCCATATATAGTATACAGTATCAGATGTTATACAAAATAATAATCATTGTAAAGATAAATTATAAGCACTAAGGAGAGAAACAGAATGCCTCACAAGGAAGTTAGAGTAGAATCTAAAATCATAGGTGTCTTGTAAGAGAGGTTAATTTCTATATGTTTTTATAGACTTAGAATGCCCTAAGAACAAAATTAAGACTAAGACTAATCTGACAACTTTTGAGAAATAAGGAAAACAAATACATCAGATTAGACTTGAGAATGCAGAGTCAGTCAGGCTTTGGAGGATTAACTTGGGATCAGTTCAAGTTCACATGCAGAACAAGAGATATAGAAAGGAAAATAAAAGAGGAAAAGCAGTACAGGAGTAAGTAATGCTTGTGGTGATAAAGTTGGGCTCAAAGAATGAATCACTTGATAACTGGAGATGATGACAATGGACCAGGCACACACTAAGGTCATGTAGAAGGATATGTTTATGATAACTGAGTAACTATTCCTTGACCCTAGGCATTAGGTTTAGAGAAATACATAAGATTATAAGGGAATGGAATTCACTCTACTGAATTTCATTGCTCAGGTGCCTGGCTCAGATGCCATTGGTCTAAAACCAGCCTTCTCTTCATCATTCCTACAGGCATATTATGACCAAGTTCCTTCAGTTAGATGTCAGAGCCAGATATATGTAGGTGTAGGCACAGACTTCAGTTTTCTACTCAAATATCTCTTCCATTTTTTTTTCATGAGGTTTGGTTATCATCTATAAATGGAAATGAAGTAAGACACAAGTGAATTTAATCAGCTGGGGTATCGTTCTATATGAACAGGAAGAACTAGAAATATTAGACCCAGTTCATATCCATGAGACTAAAGAAATAAATTAAGAAAATTTGCAATGAATAAAACCTTTATTTTAAATTATTAAAACTAGCACTAAAACCAATTGAATAATGTTCCATTTTATTTTCTACAAAGGAGTGATAATTATCAATAAGAAGGATAAAAATATATCACCAAAGTGTGTACCATATCACTACACCCTTGTTACCCTATCTGAGAGGGGATTGAGACAACTTAAAATGGTTGAGAGAACTGAGAATTTTAAAGGACAGTTGTGGACCATGGCTTTTTAATTTCTGGATATCATCAAGATATAGAAAAGGAGTCCAGACACTTGCATTTACACACATCTACAGCACTTATAACACACACACACACACACACACACAAAGCTACGCCTTTAAGACCTGGAGGGCTGTACATACAGGCAATGACGAGGCAGTCATGTGTTTGGGTTCACAACCAATGAGAAGGCAGAGCAGAAAGACTATATAAAGACAAACACACAGGAAGTAGGTCTCTTCTCTTTCGGAGAGGCAGGACCACCGCAGGAGGAAGGGTAAGGTTTTAGCTCTGAGCTCTGACCTCTTGGCTTTCTTCTTTACATTGGTTCTGTGTTTCTTATTTAATAAGACGGTTGGTTACATCTATACACATACACACACACACACACACACACACAAACACATGCATGATATTCAAGTTTCATATAAAACACAGATGAAGTAGAGGTATTGAGAACCTATTTAAGCTAGTTCCATTTGAACACTAATGGTAATCTGATGATGAGCATAAAAATAGAATCAAGCCGGGCGGTGGTGGCGCACGCCTTTAATCCCAGCATTCGGGAGGCAGAGCCAGGCGGATCTCTGTGAGTTCGAGGCCAGCCTGGTCTCCAAAGCGAGTTCCAGAGAAACCCTGTCTCGAAAAACCAAAAAAAAAAAAAAAAAAAAAAATAGAATCAAATTGTATGTTGGAAGTGATATAACTGAAATCATGGTTTTAAAGTATCACATTTAACAGTTTTATTATACAGATCACATAAACATTGCACACAATGTAGAGAATTAAGCATGGTATTGTGAAGAATAAACAAATTATTTGCTTATCCCCTACACTACTTTGATTCCATTACAATAAAGATAAATGAGCCATCTAATTTCTATTCAGACCTGTGTTTCCTGTTCTAAGAAAGCAGAATATAAGAGAGAAGCCTGTGTCTCATGCACAAAAAGCTAGGTAATTTGGGAAATTGTTTTTAATTTTGGATTATGAAGTACTTGGCAAGCTGAAGTACTAATATGCAACATTCTTGCCACCATAAAACATTTATCACAGCTCTATAACCTCCAAAATTCTACTCTGGGAATGCTTATATTATAGGAGAAGTGGTAATTCATGTTCATGTCACTGTTCACTGAGTGTGAATGGTGTTAGATGGAGGACTACAGTGGTCTGACTAGGATTCTATGGAGGAGCGGAGCACAGCAGACTCAACAGAGCACTAGACCTCTGTGCTGAGTTAGTAGCAATCTCAGGACACGCAATCCATGGTCTGTGATCTAGGGCCAGTCATCTCACTTCTCTCTGTCCCACTTTCCCCACCTCCCAAATGAATATTACATTGACTTATATAAGGATAATCTGGGAGTCAGAAAGTAGGATGTTAAAGTGCCATTTTCCCTTTAAATAGTAAAGAAAAAAATATTTAAAAAATTATCTTCCACCTTATAGATAGTTTTCGCTTGTTTAACTGCTGTATAAGTATTTTTACTGGAGTTAATTGTAAAAGACGCTAGCTAGTAAAATACAGTTTTAAGGACAAAATGCTTGAAGTATCCAACTTATATGATTTGAACTTTACACACTAAAAACACATTTTTGTGTTCTGCTCCAAGAAAATGAGTCTCTAAACAGCTACTAATGCTGAGAGAAATGGAAAACAATTCAGTGT